GGGGGGTGTCCGTCCGTCCGTCCCTGGGGGCTGGCTCGAGGGTCCATCCCTGCCTGCTTCCTGCCCGCAGGAGCTATCTGCGTGTCTTTGAGACGGTGAAAGCGGTGAACCAGGTGGCCAAAGCCAAGTCTTGCTCCGAGTCTCCCCACAACATGCCGGGCTCCAAGCAGTTGTCAGCCGCCCCCTCCGGCGGGGCCAGCACCCCCCACACCAGCTGCTCCGGCTCGGAGGGCACCCAGTGAGTGCTGCAGGGGGGCTCGGGCTGGGTGGGACAGAGCTGCTGCCCCTGTGGAGGAGCTGGGGTGTTGGTGACGTTGATTGTGCCGGAGCATGAATCAATGCTGCAAGGCTGGGGCAGGGCAAGGGCAGGCACGGCCGGAACCCGCTGCCGGCTGGGGTCCGGTACAGCATGGGGGGTGCGGTGCGGGACCATGGCCCCGAGCACCCTAACGCTGCGCCTGCCAGCAGGGGCAAGGGGGCCGGAGAGGAGCCCCGGGCCGCCCCGGGCCGGCAGGACCTGGAGGCGGCAGTGCAGCGGCTGTCGGTGCGGCAGCAGAGCCATGCCTCGGAGGAGCGCTCCTTCTTCGAGGCAGAGCGGGAGCACAAGTTGTGGCGGCTGAGGGAGGGGGAGAGCTCCAGCGGTTTCCTCACCCCCAACGAGAGCATCATCTCTACCGGGACCAACTGCTCCGGGGGCTCGGAGCTCACCGCTGGCTCTGGCTTCTCCCTCGGCTCCCTCACCTACCTGCCCGACAAGCTGCAGATCGTGAAGCCCCTGGAAGGTGAGGGGCGGAGGTGGCTTCCTGGTGTGCAGAGCTGGAGGTGCCAGGAGGGTCCCACGGCACCAGCTGAGCCCCCGGCTGTGTCCCCCTCCCAGGCTCTGTGACGCTCCACCACTGGCAGCAGCTGGCGCGGCCCAACCTGGGTGGGATCCTAGTGCCCCGTCCCGGGGTGCTCACCAAAGACTTCAGGCAGCTGGACATCGACCTGGAGGAGGTCTACAGCCTCAACGACCTAGAGGAGGATGACGTGGACGCCAGCTCCTTCCAGCTGCTCCCTACCTCAATGCCTGCCAAAGCCAAGGAGCGCCCCGGGGGTGAGCGCGGGGCGAGGGGGCAGAGGGGACGCGGCCCGCGGGACACCCCTGTCCTCCTGCCCAGGCTGCCCCTCGCCCCACCCCACGCTCTCCCCTCTTGCGCTGGTGGCCTGCCCCTGCTACCCATCCGTCCCCGTGGGGATGCTCCGTCTGCAGCTGCACGAGGGCTGTTCTCCTGCGGCCGCCCTGCTGGGGTGAGCCCGTGCCGCCGCGCTGGCGTGCACCCGCTGCAGCCTGGGTGCGTGGAAGGGACAGGTCTGGGAGAAACGTCAGCTCCTGTTCTCACTTGCACTCGCAGCCCCCTCCTCTGAGCAAGTGCCGGACCCAAACGCTGCTGGAGATGTGCCCCATGCATGCAGCTTTCTGCTGGCGGTGGCAGCTCGCACCCCAGCTTTGGCTCTCCCGTCTGCCCAGAGCCCTGCACTCTGCCTCTGCCCGTGTTGTGCCCCCCCTCCCCTTTAACCCGGTGTCTCCTGTCCCTTCCAGTGTTCCTCTCTGTTAACAACCTCCCCCAGACCCCGTCTACCTTCACCATCACCACCTGCC